CTTAACTAAGCACCCCAGACTGAGTATCTGTCATGCTGTGGGCCTGTTTCACTTCCAGTGAGGCGAAATAAACCAAAGCAAATGATTTGGAAAATGTTTTCAGTGTAATTGCTGCCTTTGATGATGCAGCTGATGATCCCTGCTGCTGGAAACGGTAACTGGTGACACTTAAGTAATGAATCTACATTTAGGAGAAACCAGACAGAAACTCATCTGCATTTCTTGGTCAAACTTTGGATGCTGCTCAGGTAAAACTGACTGCAATGTCCTTCTGTTTTTTTTTTTTGTTCCAGAGAGAGTGAGAGCCAGACAGATAGAAGCTATATTTAGAGGCGGCACTGCCTTGTACTGTATGGGTGTGTAATAAATCTGTTGTGCCATAATAGCGACCCGTCTGTGTGTGTGTGTGTGTGTGCTTTAAGGATGAATGGTGGCCTGTCTCACCCCCCCTCTCCCCCACCTCCACGATGCTGCGGCTCTCAGCTAATTGGTCGTCTCCTTAAGTGCTGCTGCTGCACTATTCTCCAGATGGGATGGAGAGGAGAGACAGAGGAAGAGGAGGGGATGAGGAGAGAGGAAGTGCTCGGAGAGAGCAGAGTGATTGATGGCAGAGGAGAAGAAGCTGCATCGATAGGATGCTGGAATAAAAAGGGGAAGGAAGGATGAAGGGTGAAATAAACGAGTGAAGGAATGTAAGCTAAAGGGGTCATGTGCTTTAAAAGCAGAGCCAACATGGCTCTGTGCCAACATATGTAATATATGCTGCAGTTTATTTAATGTTTCTCTCCTAGATCCAAGACTTTTAATAGGAAGTCTTGGATCTACATCAATAATTGACTGATGCACTAATTTAGTTAAACACTAGTTTATTTTCCTGGTCTACATTTATAAAAACTTGTCTAATCTGATGTCCTCATCTAATTCTTGATGCCTCCTGAGCTAAAAGAAAACAAAACCCATGTTTAATTTAACCCCTTCCTGCATTGGCTTTAAAAAGCCTTTTTTCCCCCCTTACTATGTGCTTTACGTTTTGACATTTTTATCTTCCTTAAACTAATAAGCATTTTCATCCAAAACATTTAAGACGGTGACTGTAAGCAAAATGGCTGCCAAACACAACACTTTTTTATTTTTTTCTCAAACCTGTGGGAGGTTTTCGGTTATAAGAGAATAACAATGCACTGCTGGCTGTTTGATTGAAGCAGTGTTTTCAAATCCAACAGATTGAATTGAATTTAAGCCTCGAAGTAAACATCAGTAATGCAGGGAGTAAAAAGTACATGAGAAATGTGTTTTCTTTTAGAAGGAAAGCAGGGGAAATCAGTAATGGCCCAGCAATTAGGGATCAGTTATGAACCAGAGGCTCTTTTTTAAAACATGTTGTGTGAAGCAGAAAAAATACCACATGCAAGCCTGTTTGTTCTTCTGTAAAATCAACCACAATTAATCAAAATAGTGTTGAACTGTCTTGGTTAGTTTTTATATTTATTGCAATAGTTGTTAGTGTGTTTCGTTTTATTTGAGATAAAGTCCATCCTCTATAGCAGGGGTGGGCAATTCCAGTTCCTGGGGGCCGGTATCCTGCATCTTTTAGATGTGCCTTTGGTTCAACACACCTGAATCAAGTAATCAGATAATTGGGAGGACTCTGCAGGAACCGACTGCATACTGAGGAGGTAACTCAGCCATTTGATTCATGTGTGTTGGACCAAGGATGGATCTAAAAGTTGCAGGATACCGGCCCCCAGGAACTGGAATTGCCCACCCCTGCTCTATAGGAAGGATCCCAACTATAAACATGTCTGTTGGGTAATGTCTCCCACCCCATGCATGAAGCTGCTGCAGAATTGGAGCGCTCCTTCAGTGACAGACTGCTGCACCCCAAATGCACCTGGGAGCATTATCACAGATCCTTCCTCCCAGCAGCTGTAAGACTCTATAACCCCCACCATTCCCAACAACCTCAATAAGTTGTTACATTCATGCTAATTTTGCAAAGTTCAGTTAAAAAACATGCTAATGTAATTTTGCAGATCCCTGATGTTGCACTCCAAAATATAAAGCAACTGCTTTTGGTATTTACTTCATATATATCATATTTAATTACTTTATCACAATTGTTTTACAGTATGTCCTACCCTGCTGACATGAATTGTCTTCAAGTAGCTAAATATGATTACGTAAATGCCAAAAAGGCTTGCATAATTTTTTTCAGTGTGCTGCTATTTTCAAATATCCATTACTGTAACTGTCCATAGCTGTTTGTTGGTTATTTATTCTCCAGGTGCACAGTTTATATTGTTTAAACACTTTACAGTTCAGTATTTTATTCTTTATCTTTTAACTCTTCACTATTGTTATTCTGGTACATTTTTCTAAGGTCCACATTTGTGTGACCATTTTTTCCCCATTTTTCCCCATTGTGGGACAATAAATTAATTTTTTATTCTATTCTATTCTGTTTTTAGAAACAGGCTTCCACATGCAGGTTAGAGACTGAGTTGTTCTTTTGAGAACCTAAAATAGTTTTTGTTCTTTTGATAACCTGCTTTAAATGTTTTCTCTTGTTCTTCTGTCTAAACTGCAACATAAGTTAGATCTATGTAAGAAGAATTGATGGATTTATGGAAAATATGGTCCTAAAAAAACATGAAGGCAGTTGGTGAAGATGACCAGCTTAATACTGGCACCTTGTGTGCTTTCAATGACCCAAATACACAAGAAAAGAATTAATTAAGTTTTTCTTTCCTCAAAACTCATTTTTTGGGGGAAATTCCTCTATTGAACCTTAAATCTCATTTTATTTCTCCATTTGTACTTTTCCTAGTAAAAAATCAGTATATATACCTGTAGCGTCTCAAACTCTAAATGTTTTAGATTTCTAGATGAAATGAAGGTAATACTGAGTGAACGATGGTTTGATTGTGAGTAAAACCACGAGGATGAGGAAGAGGAGGAATAATCGATGTCATCTGTGGTGAATGAAGCGCTTCAGGCCAAGACGCAGCAGTAACCCGCGACTCTTTTCATCAGACAGCCTCTGTTATTTCCCACACACACTCACAGACGAACCCTTGCAGCAGGTGGGCCTTTTGATTTTTTACCCAGGAAGAACCGTGTCTCATTTGCATACAGATGCCCCCTTCAGAGCAGAGGAAGGGTTTATGTACACGCACACACACAGCCCCTTCTGTCCCATCCCTGCAGACCGACCCCCAGACAACACTCTCCTTCTTTTTCTTTCCTGCACTCGTCTCCCTTCCTCCCATCCTTCTCCTCTCATCGCTTCTTCTGGGTTTCACCCAAACAGATCACAATCCACGTCTCTGTGCCTACAAATACGAGGTTTAGATCCTTTGCTTAAGTGTGAAGGCATTCTTTGGATTTATATATTCTAGGAAGTTTTCTCCTCTCTCTTATCTGTGCAGTAGGGGATTTGTTTGCCGGTGGAGTTGCATGTATGTGCATCGATGCATGCGTCTGAGTCTGTGTGCATCTTGGAGGCTCTTGAACCCTGCATCTGCTCTGGCTGGCAGAGCTTTCAGGAGTCTAATGCGCCGATGTCAAACAACAGCCGCTTGTTTGCAGACCTCCACACTGAAGTGATGCACAAATTCAAACACTCCTAAACACACACAAACAAAAAGAAGAACGGATTTAAAGCTTAATAAATTCTTGGAGACAACGGCATAAAGCAGGAGCATGAGCGCAGCTGGGCTGAGCAGATGATGTGTAATGGCACAATATCTTCACTTCCTTCATGTTTTTACCACGATGCATCAAACTAAATTCCTGTTTTTGCCAAAAATGCGACACATCTCTTTAAAGTTAAAGTAAAAAGCCAGAAACCAAAACTAAATGACAAACTGTGAAAACCCCTCAAAGCTCAAGGGTCAGAAGCTGCAATTTACCCGGACCAAAAAAAAAAAAATCCAATACACATGAAAGTCGGAATAAATATTAGAGTTTCTGATATTGCTACTTTAAATTTAGGGCAATTCTGTGTGGTTTATACCTCAAACTGAAACCTTCTCCAAAAACTTTCATGAAAATAGTAAATTTGGGTGAAATAATTTACTTTATGTTACTAGTTTTTTGACCTTTTTGCCACAAACACTAAAATATAAACAATTCCCGTATTTCACAGGATGTTTGTTAGCAACAAGCAATAAAATATCCCTTAAATCTGCATCAGTAAAAGCTTTTTTATAATTTGTTTTCAAACCAAGTCAGCTTTTGGCTGCTGATTGTGACTTAATTTGTTGCAGCTGTCTTCAGGCATCTCTGAGCTTTTAAGGAAAAATTGTGCGTTTATAGTTTCAAATGTAACCAAAAACCTATTTAACTGAATCCTCTATTAGCAACACTTCACTGAATCCGAGGGACGCCTTCCATAAGCATGTAAGTGCATGGATATTACAGCACATGGATTTAGTTTAGAAACTTTCATTTGTTGTCTTGTGGATTGAAGAAACATTCGGCTCAGCCCAACATTTTAAGGAAAAAATGCAAAAACATTTTGCATTACTCATCCGTCCAGCCAGCTGAGGCCTCCCCCCCCCTCCTCCCCTCCTCATCCAAATGTCACATCAGGGCAGCATTCAGAGTTTAGACAAACACAACGTCTGATCCGGTAATCCTGATCTCTGCCGGTGTGTGTGTGTGTGTGTGTGTGTGTGTCTGCATGTTTTAATGTCCCAGAGGATTTGAAAATTCCCAAACTACAAATCACTCTAACAGCGTAGAAATTCACCATATTGCTCCAGATTTGTCTCAGAGAAAATGAGGCTTTGTCCTCATGTAGAGTTTGTGGATCTGCAAAGTATCATCATTTACAGGAGCAAACAGCAGAGAATTAAGACAAAGTTCAACAAAACACCTTAAAAGTCCACAGCAGCATCCATCCATCCATCCATCCATCCATCCATCCATCCATCCATCCATCCATCCATCCATCCATCCATCCATCCATCCATCCATCCATCCTATCCTATCCTTACCAGGGTAGAAGTCTTTGGATTTTGACAGTTTGATGGTGGCTCCAGTCTCTTTCTGCAGCTGAACGATGGTCTGGCCTCCCTTCCCGATGATGGAACCAGCAGCATAGCTGGGAATCAAAACCTTCAGGAAGTACTCGCCTTCCTCTGCAGCAGGAAACAGGAAATAGGAAGTCAGAGAGAAAGAACTTCTGCATTGCAATGTTGATTTTGTCACAAGTAGAGCTAAAAACATATCCATGCTTTCTAAAACCTTTGTCCTCATGCATGCCTTCAGTTTGAACAACAATCCTTAAGATTTCCGACCGTCCGCGTCCTCCCAAAGCTGCACAAATCCAACCAGTTACATCAAATGATGACTGTTATCTATGGCAACTAATTATTTCCATAATCGGATGATTCCTTGCCATCGTTATCTTCCCTCTTCCTCAGCCCAACCATTTGAGCAAACCTCTAAACGCTCTCTGCAGATTGGTCTGATCTAATTTCAGTGTGGGATTTCAGGAATCTGGTCCTCGTCATCATCTTGGCACGTGGCGAGGAACACGCTGTACGGCGGTTTTACTATTAAAGCTAATCAGATTCAAATGGAGCGCCTGCATGGTTTGAGTGTGGGGCGCATCACACTGTATACCTGTCATGACATGCACTGTAAATCAGTCAGTAAAAAGAGGTCAAGGAAAGCAGATTTAAATATTTCACTGGACTGATATTTCCAATTCCGTATGCTGTGCTCCTTTCCTATTGGACAGTTCTAGTCAGGCCTGATTTCTATAAGATCAGTCTGATTTATGAGGGAAAACCAACATGTTCTATCTAGCAGAGTGTTGTAAACAGGACAAGAGATTCTCAGTCACTGCAGCGTTCAAAGTATCCTCAGTTAGTCCCAAACAGATTGCATTGTTGGCTGATTCCTTGGTTCCTGCTTTGGTTTCATTTCAGTTTGCTCACCTCAGGCAATATTGACAAATCCTCTTTCATGCTTCTATCCATCTAAAGATGAAAAATCTGGATGCTATAGAGTGGAATTTACTACAAACACAGTGTGTTCTTTCTTTAAATGAGATTCAAATTAATACTCTTTTTTAGTATTAACACAATGTGTCCTACTTTTTTAGTAAACATCTAAATGGATTTTAATGTGACTCCTTATCATCATTATTGTGCACTTAAATTTAAAGCATACAGTACGTGGCCATAATGTGCAGATTACTGACTATCCACACCAAACTGACTTTATTGCCTTAATATTTTTTTTCTTAGATGTTCCTTTTGTAGTAACTGCTATAGTTATTCATCCCTCCCAACCAAAGAATAAATAAATAAATAAATAAATCAATAAATAATAAATCAATAAAAACAGCTGTGTATTAGGGCATCCTGATTTATTTTTCCCAGAGAAAAACAAAACGGTTTTATTTATAATGAAATAAAATTCCATCAAGAAAAATGGCCCATTTCATCCTGTCTACAGTTTCATTCCCATCTTTCTGTTATCCAGGGGGTGTATTTGTACACTGTATGTATTTACCTGCAATGACAACATTTTAAACCATTTTGACCAGTTTTTCTTGAGTCTACTCTTAATTAAGCATCAGAATTGCACTTACAGGGTGGAAATAAATTAGCCCAAATATAAGATTTAGAAATTATATATAAAGAAGGCTGATCTGTACTTATTAATGTTATTAGGAATAAAAACTAAAACTAATAACAGATTGAATTGCATTTTTTATGAGCCAGAGCTAACTAACAGGAATACTTAAGTTTTGATTTTGAAATTCCTATAACTGAAACATTTTCTCTTTTTTTAAGTAAACCTGTAATCCACAAATTCAAGGTCTCTGGTTTTGATTATTTAAAAAAAAAAGCAGCAGAATTTGTCCTTCAGATTCTTTAAAAAATCAAAAACTAAAACAGAATCCAAACAATTCAAACAAATATAATCCTTGATAGGTTTGGGCTTATTCAACGGCCTTTGGATAAATAAATTGCATATTCCTATAGAAAAAAAAAAAGTAATAATAAAAAGAAATCAGTCTTTGGTTATAATTTCAGAGCACTTTAAAGCTCAAACCAAGCAGCAGCTCTTCAAAATGGTTCCTTATTGTTAAAAAAAATATGAACGGAATAAAATATATTATCTTTTGAGCCTCCAAGATGAACTGTGCAGCATTTTATGCTTTTAACTGTTCACAGGTTAGAAATCAAATCGTCAATGAATCTTAAAAACAAATTAAATTCCAGTCTTTTACTTAGGGATGCGCAACAAAATTTTATTGAATTCAAATATATCAATTCTGCATTAACGGACGAAAACTATAAACTAAAACAAAAATATTTTATAAAAGAAATAGGATCATGCATCACTAAAATAATTGTCTTAGACATAATTTGATATCTGCTCTATCTTGTCTCATGTATAATGCATGATGTATGATTTGGTGATACTTAATGTGGCCTTTTTTTAACTGATAGTGGTTCTTTGTATTTTAGCCTTATAGCATTTATTATATTCAACCAATCCAGGACACATAACCTCTGGGAATATATAAAAATAGGATTACATTTTCTCACTGCTGTTTCCCTGTCTGTTATCCACCAAGAAGTCACTGGAACACTCTGCTTTGACCTTAGGTCCGTAACAAGGAGCCAGTGACGGAGGACGTTCTGTTTAAATATATTTTCAAATGGCTTTCTAACAGATCGTATGTTTCGCTTTAGTACATGTATAACTGTATCAAACTGAATGTGTAATCGAGGTTGTCATTCTTGCAGCTGATGTGTCGGATAAAAAAACTAAAGTCTATAAAAGATCTGGACCTAAAAGAGAAGAGTTAGAAAGCGCAATGGAAATTTCAGGAGAAAAAGGTGAATAAAGCAGGTGATTTTCTGTTCTGACAGCCGTATGGCCCTAAGCTCGAAAAAGACTTTCATGTAAGGTCTGTACAGGGAGTTCAGCACACATGTTGCACTTGCAAATGTGTTTCCACTTCCACTACTTAAGCTTATTAGCCTGCATCTCCTGTCAAAGCTCCACAGCTCTGGAAAATGTACATTTCCACTTTTAAAGGTAAAGTTCATAGGAGCTCTATACATGTTTATGTAGAATACCTTGAGATGACGTGTTGTGACTTTGCACTATATAAATAAAATAAATTGACATTCCACATTAAAACATTAATACTTACATAACCTAAAGAAAAAGCTGTCAAGTAACTCATTATTAAAGCTGCATAAAAAAAAATCCAGCATCTTAAAATTCAAGATTTTCTTTGCTCCACTAAGTTTATAAATAGGGAAATGTACACATTTTGAACCAAAAGATTGAAGCTTTTTCTTTTAACATAAAACACTAAGGAGATTTCCCATTCCACTTTGTATTAGTGTGGACGTTGGTGAGGGATCACCACGGAGTAGTTGGATGGGGTCTTTTTGTGTTCAGCCAAGTCAAAGCTGACACCAACAGGAAATCTGACACTCCCCTGCCCTTCCTCAGCCCTGCGAGTGATGAAATACAAACTGCAGGATGATGAAGAGGAAAGAACAACTATGCAAACCTCAGTTTACCCAGTGGGAATGCCCCCTCCCCGCACTAAAAAACGTTTTTATTTCTGATTCTAAGAGTTCTTACAAACTGGAGCAATAATATAAACATAAAAACACACATGGGGATAACTTTCTGAAACCTTTGCATCTTGTTCTCTATAACAACATCCACCAGATTATTGCTTATCTTTCTTTTTTCTTTTTATCCAACAGACATTTTAAACCGGCTCTATTCCATATAACCAAACTGGTCATACACACTTCTTTCTTTCTTTTTATTTGGTGTTCTTAAAAAAAACACAATTTTATTAAAACATAAAACAGAATATCATCATATTTGGACTGATTGTAATAATTTTGTGCTACACAGCTTTGATTTTTGAAACAGAAGGTAAACCTTACCAACTCCTGAGATTACTGATGCAATGATGATGTAATGCTATAATGCCAAAAGCGTCTCATAGATTCTGACAGCAGCACTTTGCTTTGAAGCTTAAAGACGTGTCGCATTGTGTCTGCTTTATTTCTCTTCTCTTTCTGCTCTGGTTTTTCCTAATTTTTCCTTGCTTAAGCCACCCTGCAGGTTCCTCTACAGTTCTCTAAAACCCAATCCCATCTCCTCTCCCCTCTGCAGTGACCCACTTTGGTTAAGAAGCCTCAAACTGACCTGCTTTAGATAGAGCTGGCTAATTATAACAGCCCCATATTAATAAGGCAGGGGAATTGGTAAATACGAAACACGCATGTACACACTCTCCTATCTAGACGCAAATGGAAAAGTGTGTGTGCATCAGCGAGCATGTAAAGGAACACGTTCTCCCCAGCAAACAGATCGTTTCCGGCATTTCATAAACAGGCCCTCTACACCTCGGCATCATGAGTAATATAAGATGTAATACATGAGTCACATTCATGGTTTTCACTCGCATGGTGACATTGGTACGTGCATTCATTAAACAAGTAGTTATGCCCAGTAAAAGTAATTTAGAAAGAGGATTTATAATACAGCATTCCATCTGTCAGTTGCAAATTCTAATCGTGGGACAGTTTTACTCTAAAAGCAAACGATTAGAGGATGTCTCCTCAACAAACCACATGACAGAAGGGCAGTTTTGGGGGTTTCTTAGGAGACACAGATGGGGGATGTACTGCGGTGATGTCAGTGGAAAGCTGAGTGCTATTACACAACCTATGAAAACATTAGTGTAAAAAAATATACAACCGGTCAGGGTTCAGCCACATCAAACGGCAACTGAACAGATGTCTAGAGGTCTGATTTTACAAATTTTTAAATTAATTGCATAAATCCCTTTCCTTTATCGTTATTAGACGCTAGAATATTGAAAGAGTGGGAACTTCAAAGTTTAATGATGGCTCCTCAAAGCAAGATAAAATCTAATGGAGTAATTTGGAAAAACAGATAAGAAATGATTATAGAAATTCTAAGGCACTGCTAGCCTAAAATGGCTAAAGTACATCAGACGACTTGAGGTTATCTTGAGCTATCTCTATAGCTATGCTTCTATAGGCTTAGACTTCTGGAGGACATAGGGACCCCTATTTCATCATTCATCTTTTTTGCTTCATTCAATCTATTC